CAAAAAAAAAATCCCAAAAAAACCCCAAATTTCCCCAAAAATCCCCAAAAAAATCCCCCAACATCCCCGATTTTCCCGAATTCCCCGTTTTTCCCCCCAAATCTCACCACTCGCGTCTCCAGCAGCCGCTCCCGGGCTCCCCCCGCGGCCCCCAGGGACCCCCCCCGGGCCTTGGCGCAGACGAGCAGGGCCAGGTCCTGCAGGTAGCTCAGGAGAGACCCCGAGCGCAGCTCCAGGAGAGACACCCCCTGCAGGAGGGGAGGGAGAGCCCCAAAATATCCCCATTTCACCCCAAAAAAACACCCCGAAATACCCAAAAATCGCCCCAAAAAAATCCCCGAATTTGAACCCAAAATCATCCCCAAAATACCCAAAAATCGCCCCAAGAATATCCCCAAAATCCCAAAAAAAATCCCAAAATTCGACCCCAAAATCCACAAAAATCCCCCCAAAAAAATCCCAAAATTTGACCCCAAAATCCACAAAAATCACCCCAAAAAAATCCCAAAATTTGACCCCAAAATCCACAAAAATCACCCCAAAAAAATCCCAAAATTCGACCCCAAAAAAATCCCCAAAATCCCCAGAAATTGCTCCAAAAATATCCACAAAAATCACCCCAAAAAATCCCAAAATTCGACCTCAAAATCATCCCCAAAATCCCCAGAAATTGCTCCAAAAATATCCCCAAAATCACCCAAAAAAATCCCAAAATTCGACCCCAAAATCCACAAAAATCACCCCAAAAAAATCCCAAAATTTGACCCCAAAATCCACAAAAATCCCCCCAAAAAAATCCCAAAATTCGACCCCAAAAAAATCCCCAAAATCCCCAGAAATTGCTCCAAAAATATCCACAAAAATCACCCCCAAAAATCCCAAAATTTGACCCCAAAATCCCCCAAAACCACCCCAAAAAAAATCCCCAAAATCCCCAGAAATCACTCCAAAAAAATCCCCAAAATCACCCAAAAAAATCCCAAAATTTGACCCCAAAATCCACAAAAATCACCCCAAAAAATCCCCGAATTTGACCCCAAAATTCCCCCAAAATACCCAAAAATCGCCCCAAAAATATCCCCAAAATCCCCCCCAAAAAATCCCAAAATTCGACCCCAAAATCCCCAAAAATCGCCCCCAAAAAATGCCTAGAAATCCCCCCAAAAAATCCCCCAAATTCCTCTCAGAGATCCCAAAATCCCCCTCAGGAATTCTCAAAGCATTTTAAAGACCCCAAATTCCCCTCAAAATCCCCTCAAGTTCCCCAAATTCCCCTCAGGGATCCCCAAAATTCCCACAATTTCCCCTCAGATCCCCAAATTCCCTCAGGGATCACAAAATTCCCTCAGGATCACCAAAATCCCCTCAAAATTCCCTCAAATTCCCCTCAGGGATCCCAAATCCCCCCAGAGATCCCAAAATTCCCTTAAAATTCCCTTAAATCCTCTCAAGATCCCCAAAATCCCCTCAGGATCCCCCAAATTCCCCTCAGGGATCCCAAAATTCCCCCAGGGTCCCCCAAATCCCCTCAGGATCCCCCAAATTCCCCTTAAAATTCCCTTAAATCCCCTCAAAATCCCCAAAAATCCCCTCGGGATCCCCAAAATCTCCCTCAGGGACCCCAAATCCCCTCAGGGATCCCAAAATTCCCTAAATTCCCCCTCAGGATTTTCCCAAATTCCCGTCCCTCCGGTACCTCCTTGGTGTCGAGCCGTCCTCCCCTCACTCTCCGCAGCATTTCCCGCCCGTGCGCCGCCACTTCCGCCGCCTGCGGAGACCCCGGAGCGTCACTTTGGGGCAATTTCGTCCAATTTCGGGGGTTTTTGTTGGGATTTTGGGGTCTCACCTGGGCCCGCAGCGCCTCCAGCAACGCGACCGCCTCGCCCGCCGCCATGTTGGAAATGAGCGTGAGGGGAGGACGCGGCAGCCAATCGGAGCGAGGCGCGCGAAGCCTCGACCAATCAGAGCGCGAGAAGAAAGCACATAGTCCCGCCCACAGCCCGGGGGAAATAATTGACGGGCTCAAGAGCCAATCAACGCGCAGAATCACAGAACGCTGACCAATGGGATTAGAGAAAGGCGGGACACAGCGCGTCCCGCCCTATGAGGAAGATCAGCCAATGGCAACTCGCGATGCGATGATTGACAGGCGCGGCAGCCAATGAGAAGCCAGAATTTACCCCGACGCGGCTCCAACGCTTTGAAACCGCCAAAATTCCATTTTTTTTCCACCAAAATTTCATTTTTTCCACCCAAAAAATTCCCTTTTCACCCCCCAGACTCAGTCAGGACCCTCTAAATTATCCCCAGGACCCCAAAAATTCCATTTATTTCACCCAATCCCTTTAAAATCCCGAATTTTTCCTCCCGCTTCTCCTTTATTTCCAGTTTTTAACTCGGAATTTTCCCGATTTTGACCCAAATTCCCGCATTTTCCTCCCGATTTCCACCCAAAATCTTTCCCCTCCGAACTTCCCAATCCCCAATTTCTCCTCAAAAAAATCCCCCCAAAAATCCCATTTTTTCTCCTAAAAAATCCTA